TTTCGATCCCGCTTTAAGCATTGCTTTATCGGCATCGGCTTAAAGGTGGAGAAGTTTAATTTCTCTTATGCCAGGGAGATATCCTCTTTCAAGATTAGCGTGTCTCCAACTCATTTCGAGACCATTTGCTCTTCCAAATTTTGGCCAGAGCACCTGGTTGTGAAAGAGTTTAAGGCTAAGAAGAAAAATAGGCCCCCCATAACTCTTCCTAGTAGTGAGGCCAGTGGTCCTTCCTCCTCTGCTCCATCCACCTCTACCCACTGCAATTCCTTGCAGTCAAAAAACGAAAACCCCTCTTTGTAGCCTATCAAAATGCTCGTGGCTTACGTAGTTAGCTGAGCTTTTTTATCTCCTTTTTATGGATAGTTTCACATTTTCATCCCATGTTATTGTGTTTACCGAAACCTGGAACTTTTCATAGTCCAGATCTCACAAGACCTGGAATTCCTCTGTGTTAGACTGATTCTTCCCGGCCAGTCTATTTATGTCACTTGCTCGTATATTCCTGCCTTAGTCTGCCTTAAAAACTGTTTCTTCCTCGCTATCTGATAAAGACCATTTAATATTTCTTGGGGATTTCAACCTGCCAGGTACTGTCTGGTCTTCGGTTAACGAGTCAAACAACCTTGTGCCCATGTCACGACATGAGTTTATTGATGGCTTATTAGACCTGTCCCTGTGTCAAGTCAACCATGTAAAAAATTCCTTGGGTCGATTGCTTGATCTGTGCTTTGTCTCGGATCCGACCGTAGCGTTGTTAACACGAGCACTCCCGCTCACTATACCTGAAGACTGCTATCATCCTACTTTCGAAGTGTAGGTAGATATTGGATCTACTGTATCGGATCGTGCGGGTAGGCTATCTGAACGCGTCCGCTGCTTTCGTAAAGCCGAGTTTACGAAGCTCAATAACTTAATTCGAAATTTTGATTGGTCCGCTCTTTACTCGTGCACTGACGTTATTGAAGGCACAAACATTTTTTACAATGTACTTGACACTATTTTTTGCTCGTGTGAGAGCAGATAGATCTCCGATAGATTTTTGGTTCACCAAAGAGTTATCCAGTCTAAAGAACCTTAAAAAATCTCAAGAAGTTGGTTCTCCATTTTCTCTTTCTAATTACTTAAAAGCTCGGTCAAATTTCACTGTTCTTAATGCTCAATGCTATAGGAACTACCTCCTTCGATACAGGATACGTTTTTTACAGGACCCTAACAGTTCTACAGCTTTCTAAGCAGTAAGCGTAGAACGTCCGCACATCCATCCTCGCTATCATTTTTGAATATGTCGGCAAACAATGATCAGGCAATCGCCGATCTTTTTGCACAATTTTTTCAAACCACCTATTCCCAGGAAAGCTACCCAGGTCATATGAAGGCTCCTTACTTCATGAACTTCAATTAGTTAAGCCGGCATTTTCACCGGGCCCTGACGGAGTTACCGGCTGTGTACTCAGGTACTGTGCCGAGTCTCTGTGCGGACCTTTGCTAAAACTATTCACTCTATCCATCCATTCTTCTAGAAGGAAGGAATCCTTTATAATTCCTCTCCATAACAAAAGTAGCAAGTCTGACGCCAAAAACTATAGAGGTATATCTAAGTTATCCGCTACTCCTAAAATGTTCGAGAAAATTTTAACTCCGCACTTGCAGCATCTCTGCAAATCACTTATATCTCCAGCTCAGCACGGATTTATACGGCGACGATCAACAACCACTAATCTTTTAGAGTTCACCTCCTTTGTCATTAAAGGATTCCAAGGTAACTTGCAGACGGATGTTATTTACACTGACTTTAGTAAGGCATTCGATTCTGTAAACCATTCTCTTCTTGCAGAAAAGCTCGACCTTCTAGGGTTTCCGCCAAATCTGTGGAGATGGATTTATAGCTACCTGTGTTCTAGGTCTCAAAGGGTCTTTTTCAAAAACTCCTTATCTTTACCTGTTATGGTTACTTCTGGAGTACCACAGGGTAGCCATTTAGGCCCCTTACTTTTCACATTCTTTATTAATGACCTGCCCCCTGTATTAACAAATTCTCGAGTACTTATGTATGCGGATGATGTTAAACTCTGTGCCCAGTATAAGGACATTTCATTTCACTCTCGCTTGCAATCTGATCTCAATAGCTTTCAGTTATTGTGCTGTGCAAATATGTTACAACTTAATGCCTCGAAGTTCAATGTAATGACTTTTTATCGCTCCACCCCCTTCCTGGCTCCTTTCACCCTCTGGGGTACTTCTCTTGAGTGAATTACATTGGTTGATGATCTAGGTGTTAAACTTGACCCCAAGTTAAAGTTTTCTGAACACATTTCTGGTAAATAAAGCCATGGGTGTGCTTGGGTTTATAAAGAGGTGGTCAAAGGAATTTGATGACCCCTATATAACGAAGACTCTCTATATCTCGCTTGTTCGTCCGATTTTAGAATACCGCTCATGTGTATGGTGCCCTCAGTACAACATACATCAGGACCGTATTGAATCAGTACAGAAAAACTTTTTATTATTTGCCCTACTGGGCCTCAACTGGGATGCAACTGTGAGACTGCCATCCTTCCGTAGTAGACTTCTTTTACTAAATCTTCCATCCTTAGTTAGTCGTAGAATAATGCTTGGTGTAATTTTTATGCACAACTTGATCAAGGGGGATGTAGACAGCCCTGACTTGCTGATCCGCATAAACTTTACGATTCCCATTAGACCCACTAGAAACTTTATTCCTTTGTTCCTTCCACTATGTAGATCGAATTATGCCTCACACGAACCGTTTAGGGTTTTATGCTCAGATTATAATTCCCTCTACCACATTATATCGTCAACTAACTCCCTTCCTCTTCTTAAATCTCTTATACTAGCCTACCTCTCCCTTAGTTAGTTTCATTTTAGTTTTGTCTTGTTTCTGATTTTGGTAACTTTTGCTTGCTTAGCTATAGTAGCTCTAGTCTAGTTGTGTTTAACTCTAATTTTCCTCGAATATTAGCCTAACATCTATCTTTCCTGCATGCTCGCGACCGGTTCGGTTAATCGCGCAGCGCGTCATGCGACAGTGCCCCTCGGTCAGTTGGGCGGGAGGAGGGCTGCGTTCTGCTGGGTTCCGCGAGTAACAGGCTTTGGCTTGATGGTGCAGTCATTGCATATCAACGTCTAGACAAATATATTTTTTTAAAGTTCTAAAATGTTTTAAAGTATCTTTCATCATAATTGAACTTTTGAATACCTTTTTTTATAATAAATACGACGTAAATGGGTTCCAGTTCGTATGGGGGCGGGAGGTAGGCGGGTCCAAATGACTAATTTTTTTTCCGAAATTCTATTTTAGTCTAACAAACATTCATGACAATTTTTAGAGCTGTAGCTCTTTTGGTTTGGTTAATGCCAAAAAACAGGCTTTTTACCCATATTGGAATGTGCAAAAACTAAGCAAAACTGCTGGACAGGGTGGGGGGTAAACACAGCAAATGAATTTTTTGTAGAAATAAGGTAAAGTGTAAAATTTGAAAAAAAAAAAAAGTATTGACTCGTAAAAAGCGTCTCACACGTCCCTCCTCGTAGGAAAATAAGTTACCAATTTCTCTTATAGATGATAATTGCTGCCAGCAAGTAATTAAACTGCATGATCCAGAGACTCCATGACACTTGCAAGTAATTCGAGTTTTTTTAATGACAGCCTGAAAAAAATATTAGAATCTTAAATTAGATGATTATCATAGAATGTATCTTCGTTCAAATTATTTCGTAATTATAAGGTGGAGCAACGTTCACAACTGTTCTGCACTCCGGTAATCAGCCATTGTATGGATATGAACTCCCACAGGTGTTATTATCAAATTGTTATACCCGGTACTCGAAGAGTAAATATGTAATGAGTAACGCACAGAAGGAAATGTTTCCGACCCCATAAAGTATACATATATATTCTTGATCAGCATCAGTAGTCGAGTCGATTGAGCCATGTCTGTCTTCGCACGGAAGGACACGTTTCCGACCCCATAAAGTATATATATTCTTGATCAGCATCAATAGCCGAGTCGATAGAGCCATGTCTGTCTGTAAGTCTGTCCGTCCGTCCGTCCGTCCGTCCGTCCGTCTGACCGTCTGTCCGTCTGAGGAAAAGTTTGGTGTCTCTAGTTCTTATAGACTCTGAGAACTAGCCGACAAACAACACGGACAGACGGTCGGACGGACGGACAGACAGAGATGGCTATATAGACTCGGCTATTGATGCTGATCAAGAATATATATAATTTATGGGGTCGGAAACGCTTCCTTCTCCTTTTTTTTTGTCGTAAAAAGTTTACGCGTTTTGGGCCTCTGTCTTATAATCATGGCTCGCATTGCTCTCCTGTTACTCGCATTCGCCCTGTCTCTAATCCATGTTAGTGTATGGCCGCTGATAGGGAACAACCTCCATCTGATCCCATTCCTGCTTCTGGACTTCCTTGCGTAAATGGGCGTTTAAATATTCGGTGTATCGAGGCGTAGTCAATCTTCGAGGAACATAGGGCTCATTGTGTCCTCAAGCGGTCTACATATCTCTTGTAAACTTCCGCATAAGCCTCATACACCGTCTCAAAGCCCTGGTCCCGGTGGATGGTATCGTTACGAACATACCATAGGGCATTGTTGATAGTTCAGTTTATAGGCCACCAAATTCAAGACTAGAGGCAAGGGAACCCGAAACAGGCAGTGTGTTTTGCCATATGGGTGCGATGACTTGTTTATAAAGAAGGACTTTAGCGTTCAGGCATAATTTGCTGTTGCTGTTAAGCAGCCATTGGAGCTTCTTTACTCTGGCCTTAATTTTAGAGACAGTTGCCCTGATATGGTGGTGGCATAGCAACTTAGTATCCAATCTGACTATAAGGAAGGGATGAAAAGTCACGATTGGAAGCGACTGTCCAGCGATTGCGGGAACTAATATACCCTCAGGCTCCAGGGAATTGCGGAGAGTATGGAAAAAGCGAACAGTTTTTGAGGCGTTGATGCTAATGCCCCAATTTATGGCCCAGTCAGATACTCTGCCCAGGAACCGGTTCAAATTGGAGATGGCTAACCGCTGGATACTACCTCTAGGTAAGATAGCTGTGTCGTATATGTGGACATATGTGGACAGCAAAATATTCTAGACTCAAGGGGTGGGCATGTCAGCGGTATACGGGTTGTGTGTTTTTACTCTTCTCCCCAGATTTGACTCCACCTGGGCACTCGACCATAAACGTACGTCCATCCAAGTAGCTGCTGAGGCCTCTGTATAGTGCCGTCGGAAGCAGTTGCTTCATTTTGAATCTTAGGCCAGTGTGCCAGACCCTGTCGAAGGCTTCTTGAATGTCCATATACGCTGCGGAGCAATAGAAGTTCCTATCATAAGTCTCGAGAATAAACTTAGTGACCCGTCCGATCTTCTGTTCAGCTGCATGCTCATGCCTAAATAAAAACTGGTGGTTGGGAATTGCCTCTACAAATCCGTCCGCTCCATCATCCTGGTCAGCAGAAGACGTTCGAACAGTTTTAATAGTCCAGGGAGCAAACTGATAGGTCTGTATGAGGCCAATTTGTCCGCTGGCTTGCCGGGCTTGGGGACCATTGAAACAACTGCGCGATTTGTTAAAGTCACCTCTGCATGCAATCTAGGTCGGACGGGCCTCATCAGATTGCTTCTGCTTCATGCTGCTGATGTATGATGTTGTTCTGCAGAATGTCAGCAGAATTATCAACATCCTCGGCAGACATTAGCTCCGTGTTAAAGTGTATGTGTAAGTCCAGCCAGGACTGGAACACCGATACGTTTGAGCCTGCCGGCAGCTGACTCCTTTTCATAGTCACCACCGCTGGAGACTCGCGTAGCTCGACCAACATGGGCAAATTATCGGAAGAAAGCTCATTCTGATCGCGTATGTTAAGCAGCTCATCTCGAATGCCTTTATACACTGGAAAGTTGACCGCTGGAGGGAATGAAAGGTGTTGTATGGGTAGTGGGTAGGCGAACCAGTAGCCAATTGCAGCTGCTTCTCTGTATGGACCGGAGAAAGGTTCCTCCTCTCTTGCATGCCCTTAGGTTGCCCCACCATGTATTTTTAGCATTCTAATCTAAGCAATGAAATGCGACCGGAATTGGAGAAACAATTGCGTGAATCCCTCCTCAGTTCATTCCTGCTGCGGTGGGCAGTATTGGACCATTGGCTGACACGCATACTACCTTGAACCATCACGTGAACACCAGCGGCCTGGATGTGTTCCGTGGAAATGCAAGGCAGCGGCATATGAACTTCTAATAAGAAGTAAAGCTCCTCCTCGACTAGACCCAGATGGATGATGTGTTTTATATGTGCAGTATCCATGTGCGCTAAAAGTTTCGGAGTTTTTAAAATGAGACTCAGGCACCATCATGGCGTCCACGTCGTGCCTGCACATGGACTCTTCAAGCTCCGCAGTCCCACGAAGCCCCGAGGCGTTCCAAAATGCTAATTTGGAACAGACATCGCTCCGACTGACCCCGATTTGATGTGGAGAATTCCCGGTGAGTATTTTGGGCCAAAGTGATGGCCTGAATTGAGGCGAATAAGGTTTTGTCAATGTAGTGTTCTCTATTAGACAATAGCCTAACAGTAAGAAGACTGAAAAGATACCACATTCTCGATATCCCTGATAGATAAATCCAACAAACTGAAAAGATGTTATATATAATAACAGGGCTCATTGGAAAACTGCTATTTCTGTTAATTGAATATTAATTATACAATTTACTTATTGTTTAAAAAAACAGACTGTAAATATAAAGAGAGAGAAAAAAAAATAAAAAATAAAAAAATCTAGTGTTCAGCTAATTGATCCATTTTCCTTTCTAGTTTCTGAGTAGCTTCAGACGCTCCTGGATGGACCCGGTCCTGGGTTAGCAGACTGATGAAAATGCCCAGTTTTCGGCTAAGCTCATTGGAATAGACCGACTGATTGCCCAGACAGGGGCGTGGAACAGCTTCGACGGACAGGACATCGACAAAAGCATCAGATCTGGCGCCTGAGGGCGCACGACATCGTCTAGACTGCTGCAGTTCAGGAAATCCCCGATGGATCATATTGGGTGGCTGGCGGGGTCGTCTCAAGCCCATTGCAGCTGGTAAGGTAGGCATATTTAACCTCGTCAACATATTGATTGTTTCTTTTATCTTCAAAATTGTAGCTTTGGGAGGTTTTCGCCCTTTTGTTTGGGCGGAAGGGGGCGGGGCTCATTTTTGAAATACACTTGTAACAGTGTGAGCATATAAAAGTCTGGATGCAAAATTTGGTGGCTCTAACTTTTATAGTCTCTGAGATCCAGGCGCTCATAAGGACGGACGGACGGGCGGTCGGACAGACATGGCTCAATCAACTCGGCTATTGATGCTGACCAAGAATATATGGGGTCGGAAACGTTTCCTTCTATGCGTTACATACAACCATTATTCCTCATAAATACAATATACCCTATTTACTCTTCGAGTACCGGGTATAGCGACGCACAGAGCACTATTACACCATTTAATATATTCTAAATATTTTAATATTTTAGTTAATTAAATAAAACTCGGTAGCTCGGGAAGAGTAAATAGGGTATATTGTATTTGTGGGGAAAATTTGACACACGAAACTTTTCCGACCCCATAAAGCATATATATTCTTGATCAGCATCAACAGCCGAGTCGATAGAGCGATATCTGTCTGTCCGTCCGTCTTTAAGAGCGCCTAGTACTCAGAGACCATAAGAGATAGGGCAACCAAGTTTTGAATCCAGACTTCTGTATGCTCACACTGTTACAAGTGTATTTCAAAATTTCGACACGCCCCCTTCCGAACCCGCAAAGTGCTCAAATCTTCCACAATTTGAAAATAAAAGAAAAAAGGCGTCCTAATTGTAGATTCTGTAGAAAATTACCATATCTATCAGATCACCGAATTGGGATCCGATTGCAAAGTAGTCGAATATGCTGACGACGTTGTCCTAATGTTCACGGGAAAATTTCCCCAAACACTCTGTGATCTCATGACCAAAAAACTTGCGCAATTGTCAGAATGGACAAGATCATGCGGACTGTGTGTAAATGCCTCAAAAACGGAACTTGTTCTATTCACCAACAACCAAACACCCCTAACACTAAACAAATGTAGGTTACCCTTTGGCGGCAGTGAAAGTTACCTTTGGTTGGTAATAAACAAGAATTTTTTCAAATTCTCTCATTCACACTCAGCTTCGATCAGTGTGCGGCCTCTGCCACTGCCTCTGCAGTTTCTCAGCTTATATTTGTTTTTTTTTCATATTCTTTCATTCACACTCTGCTTCTGCAGTGTGCGGCATCTGCGTCTACCATGACTCTGCAGTGTGTGGCTCTAGGGAAGCGGGGCGAGCTGAAGGAGAGTGTTGGCGTGAGAAATGTTGTAGATGTAGATGACAGATGACAGATGAAGAATAAATTTAAAATTTTACAAAAAACCGCTAAGGTACAGATGTAGTACTGAGTGTCGGGTATAAAAGCTGTGACGCGTAAGAAGCGTCTCACACGTCCCTTCTCGTTACTTTTCTTGTATCTTCAAAATTGTAGCTTTGGGAGATTTTCGCCCTTTTGCGGGGGCGGAAGGGGCGAGGCTCAATTTTGAAAAACACTTGTAACAGTGTGAGCATACAGAAGTCTGGATGCAAAATTTGGTGGCTCTAGCTCTTATAGTCTCTGAGAACTAGCCAATAAACAAGACGGACAGACAGACATGGCTCTATCGACTCGGCATCAACGTTCACTGAGACCTGAGGTTGAACCGGATGCCGCGAAAACCAGTTCCGTATTTGTTCCGTTCGAATCATTTGGATTTATGCGAGTCATGAAAACGAATGGTTGCTAAAAGTGGACTTAGCTGAAGTTATAGAGGTCGTTAAAAGTGCGACTTAATGGTACCAAGACTTATTTTGACCGTTCTTACGCTTGTAATGCGTACGAACGTCTCATTCAACCCATTCAGAGAATTGCCCAATCAAGTACTTATGTACATTTTAAAAAAAGTCATTTAACTTAATTTCAACGAATTTAAAAACTCCAACTAATTCCCTCAAATCGAGTTCGTTCGCCGATGTAGCATTTTTGCAATTTCATTCTAAAGATTCAAGGATTCGATTCATTCTAACGATTCAAGGAAAGTTTAGAACTTGCTTCGGCTACGACTAAAATAAACAAAAAAAGATTATAGTTGAAAAACATACCCGACGACCTGCTTCATTGTTATGTAAATTCATTAGGCTTCGAGCCTTGGTAGTTGTTGTGGTTCGAGTATCCACTCCATCCACATAATTTCCTCTGTCAATGCTACCAGCACTAGGCGCGTCTTCGACTACCGCCCGTTGATTTTTCCGCTTCCGTTTACGCCGATTGCTTTTATCGTCTGCTTGAAAAATTTTCGAGTTTAATATCTCTCGATTAATTTTTTCCTGTACAAAATATACAAATAGAGACTATAAAACTGTGAAAATATATGGAGAACTTATGAAAATATGATATAAGTTTGATTATATTTAGAGTTTAAAGGTTATAAGCCCGTTCCTATAGCTTTTATAGCGACTGTAGATTTTTATAATATACATATTTATTATACTGAAGTCAACTGGTACTAGTCGGCTGGTCGATTTTGGGCAGTTATTCGTTTTCCAGATTTTGCACACGGGGTAAAAGTTGTAAAGTTAATAGCAAAAACAAATATGTTTCTCATATTTTTTAAAATAATTCAATTTGTAAGTCTTTGTGGAATAACTTTTCACAAGAATCATCTTTCTTATAGAAAGAAGATAAATGTAAAAGAAAAACGAGAAGGAACGTGTGAGACGCTTCTTACACGTCACAACTTTTATACCCGGCACTTAGTACTACATCTGCACCTTAGCGGTGTTTTGGTGATCTGATAGATATGGCCATTCGCTACACAATGGCGTTTTTATTTTTTCGGGGGCGGAAGGGGGCGTGATTAATTTTTTAAATACACTTGTAACAGTGTGAGCATACAGAAGTCTGGATGCAAAATGTTGTGGCTCTAGCTTATATGGTCTATGAGATCCAAGCGCTCAACAAGACGGAAGGACGGACAGACAGACATGTCTCAATAGACTCGGCTATTGATGCTGATCAAGAATATATATACTTTATGGTGTCGGAAACGTTTCCTTCTGTGCGTTACATACATTCACTTTGTGCACAAATACAATATACCCTATTTACTCTTCGAGTAGCGGGTATAAAAATAGGCCCCCCATAACTCTTGCTAGTAGTGAGGCCAGTGCTCCTTCCTCCTCTGCCCACTGCAATTCCTCTCAGTCAAAAAACTAATTTCCCTCTTTGTAGTCTATCAAAATGCTCGCGGCTTACGTAGTAAGCTGTGCACTCTTTTTATGGATAGTTTTACATTTTCATCCCATGTTATTGTGTTACCAAAACCTGGTTAAGGCCGGACATTATTAGTTCCTTAGATTTGGCAGATCGGTACAAAATTTATAGGACTGATCGTTCGTCTCTACGTGGAGGAGGGGTTCTTCCTCGCCATATACCTATACATAGACCATATAATAGTTATTGGGGATTTCAACCTGCCAGGTACTGTTTGGTCTTCGGTTAACGAGTCTAATAACCGTGTGCCCATGTCACGACATGAGTTTATTGATGGCTTATTAGACCTCTCCCTGTCTCAAGTCAACCATGTAAAAAACTCCTTGGGTCGATTGCTTGATCTGTGCTTTGTCTCGGATCCGACAGTAGCGTTGTTAACACGAGCACTCCCGCTCACTATACCTGAAGACTGCTATCATCCTACTTTCGAAGTGTCGATAGCAATATCTATCTACCTACCTACTGTATCGGATCGTGCGGGTGGGCTATCTGAACGCGTCCGCTGCTTTCGTAAAGTCGAGTTTACGAAGCTCAATAACTTAATTCGAAATTTTGATTGGTCTGCTCTGTACTCGTGCACTGACGTTATTGAAGGCACAAACATTTTTTACAATGTACTTGACACCATTTTTTGCTCGTGTGTCTCACTCTCGTTTCCGACTAGATCTGCGCAACCTCCTTGGTTCGCCAAAGAGTTAACCAGTCTAACGAACCTAAAATCAAGACTATTTAAAAAATCTCAAGAAGTTGGTTCTCCCTTTTCTCTTTCTAATTACTTAATATCTCGGTCAAATTTCACTGTTCTTAATGCTCAATGCTATAGGAACTATCTACTTCGATGCAGGATACGTTTTTCACAGGACCCTAAACAGCTTTACAGCTTTGTAAACAGTAAGCGTAGAACGTCCGCACATCCATCCTCGCTATCATTTTTGAATATGTCGGCAAACAATGATCAGGCAATCGCCGATCTTTTTGCACAATTTTTTCAAACAACCTATTCACAGGAAAGCTACCCAAGTCATGTGTATCCATATAGTTTAACAAGGTCGAATGGCATTTTCTGCTTTCTTTGTTTAATGAAAGCTCCTTACTTCATGAACTTCAATTAGTTAAGCCGGTATTTTCACCGGGCCCTGACGGAGTTCCTGACCTTTCCCATAAGAAAGGTAGCAAGTCTGCCCCTAAAAACTATAGAGGTATATCTAAGTTATCCGCTACTCCTAAAATGTTCGAGAAAATTTTAACTCCGCACTTGCAGCATCTCTGCAAATCACTTATATCTCCAGCTCAACACGGATTTATACGGCGACGATCAAAAACCTTTCATCTTTTAGAGTTCACCTCCTTTGTCATTAAAGGCTTCCAAGGTAACTTGCAGACGGATGTTATTTACACTAATATCAGTAAGGCAATCTTTTGAGATGGATTTCTAGCTACCTGGGTTCTAGGTCTCAAAGAGTCTTCTTCAAAAACTCTTTACCTGTTATGGTTACTTCTGGAGTACCACAGGGTAGCCATTCAGTCCCCTTACTTTTCACACTCTTTATTAATTACCTGCCTTCTATATTAACAAATTCTCGAGTACTTATGTACTTATGTTATGTAGCTCTGAGTCCGGTATAAGGACTTGCAATCGCTTGCAATCAGATCTCAATAGCTTCCAGTCATGGTGTGGAGCAAATATGTTACAGCTAAATGCCTCGAAGTGCAATGTAATGACTTTTTATCGCTCCAGCCCCTTCCTGGCTCCTTACACCCTCTGCGGTACTTCTCTTGATTGGTTGATGATCTAGGTGCTAAGCTAGACCCCAAGTTAAAGTTTTCTGAACACATTCCTACCATGGTAAATAAAGTCATGGGTGTGTTTGGGTTTATAAAGGAATTCAAAGGAATTTGATGACCCCTTTATAACGAAGACTCTCTATATCTCGCTTGTTCGTCCGATTTTAGAATACGGCTCATGTGTATGGTGCCCTCAGTATAACTGAGGGTAAAAGTATAACTTTTTATTATTTGCCCTACGGGGCCTCAACTGGGATGCAACTGTGAGACTGCCATCCTAATATAGTAGACTCCTTCTAATAAACCTTCCATCCTTAGTTAATCGTAGAAAAATGCTTTGTGTAATTTTTATGCACAACGTTATCAAGGGGTATGTAGACATCCCTGACTTGTTGAGCCGTGTAAACTTTACGATTCCCATTATACCCACTAGAAACTATATTCCTTTGTTCTTTGTTCTTCTACTGTGTAGATCGAATCATGCCTCCTAGCTCCCTTCCTCTTCTTAAATCTCTTATACTAGCCTACCTCTCTAGCAATTAGCTTCATTTTAGTTTTGTCTTGTTTCTGATTTTGGTAATTTTGCTTGCTTAGCTATGTTGCTCTATTTTAGTTGTGTTTAGCTCTAATAGCTCTCCTTTCCTCGAATATTAGCCTAACATCTATCTTTCCTGCATGCTCGAGACTGGTTCGGTTAGCAGCGTTGGCAGCGCCCCTCGGTCGTTTGGGCGGAAAGAGGGCTGCGTACTTCTGAGTTCCGCGCGTAACAGGCTTTGGCTTGATGTCGCATGGCCGTGCAGTCATTGCATATTAATTTTCAGACAAGATGTGAGCAAAGCTTGAGTTCTGGGAGAAAAGTCTTCTAAAGGTGTGCTTGAGCACGGCCACAGGAGTCGAATAGTATGACAGAGATGAATTAATAAATAAAAATCAAAGTTATTCAAAAATATGTCTCTCTTCGTAAGATTTAAAGAATACAGATGTTCACCTTAATTATGATCCAAAACATATTGAATATATTGACAAAATAGTATATCCAACATTTTTTAACGTTTTTCATTTAAAAGCACCAGAACCTGTTCTTACCTGCAATACCAGCATTTCCCTTCCCTCCAGTTTCGAATTAAGTATTTCTTTTGTAATACGTTGCTGGAGCTCGAATAGGTCGTCTGGTAGCCCTAGTCCACTATCCTCATTTTTTTTAAGGTTTAATTGAGTTGCTGTTACCACAAGGTCGTTACGTAAATAACTATTTTTTCCACTCGGCTTTTTCCTGAGTTCTTTAGACACGTTCTCGACAGTGCCATTTTTTGCATCAATCAAACTCGTTAAATTTGACATTTTTAATGTTGACGTTCCAAAGGTTTCGATATCGTCAGCCTGCATTTGTTTGCTCTGCATTTGGCTTTGTGTAAATTCCCGAGCCCGTTTGCGAACGCCGCGAGTTTCACGGTGAGCCTCTTTTTCCCTCACATCAATGAAATCAGTAGCAAATCTGTTAATAAAGTGATTAAGAACATTAAAAATTATTGACCACACAAATATTAAGCCAGTAAACTATTTTACTTGATATTGCGGAAAATTTAATATATAACATAACTCGACAAAATCTATAATTTTTTTCTTCAGGGAACGAAACCGACTCTTTCTGATCGATTTGGGGATTTATTATTTAATTAATAACTATTTTTTTAACAGAACCTTTTGTTTTTAAAATTTAAAAAACCGCTATGTGTTGCTTGTGCTTTTTTAGAGGTAGCGGTCCTTGTTTTAAATAACCTAAGTATCTAAGTATCTTTTTTTTTTTAAATTAAGTAAGTTATGTGAATAAATTAGCCGCTACCTCTTAAAAAAGGATCAACAAAAATACCAGTTTTTAAAAAGTCGCTAAAAAAAGTTATGCCATAAAAAAATATCATTAGTCAATTTTTTAGCCCCTTATCTATCAGAAAAATGTGGTTTGGGTCCATGAGAAAAAAATACACCAAATAAATCATCAATATCGCATCAATAAAGAATTTTCTTTTTTCCCTAAAGTGCTCAATTTGGAAGATATGAAAAAACGAAAACGCAGATTCATATAAACTTATCATTTCTACTAGATTGCGCGTTGTGGTCGGATCAATTTTTTGCGATTTTCAAATCTGACACACCTGCCTCGCTTTCGTGCTCTCTATACCCGTTCCATTGCAGAGCCGCTGGCAGTCTGAGAAAGATGCCTGATGGTAATTGGTTGGTGGAAAGGGATAGATATAACGGATAGTTCAGTATGGAAAAGGGTAGAGCATTTCTGGAGCATTTCGATGAAATAACAATGAGAAATCGATGACATTATTTAAAATTTAACAACAAAATTATCAAATTTTTCAAACATTATTGTAAAGGTTAGTTGTGTAACATTGCATTAAAATATGCAATGAGGACCGCCAAGAAAGCCGACGAACATGGCCATGTCGAGAGTATTGATATGCCTACACTACACGACAAAATCGGATTTTTCCTCAAGTAACCAAACTGACATTTTTTGATAGATTTTGGGAACTAAAATTGTTCAATGAATGAATGCTTTTCGATTTTTTAGATATCTTAAGTATCTTTGATTTGGTTATATAAACCACTGCAAGCTAATTGATGCATCTAAAAATTGTACCCAAACACTTAGTTGTTATACCTGGTACTCGAAGAGTAAATAGGGTATTTGTATTTGTGAGGAATAAAGGTTGTATGTAACGCACAGAAGGAAACGTTTCCGACCTCATAAGGTATATATATATTCTTGATCAGCATCAATAGCCGAGTCAATTGAGCCATGTCTGTCTGTCCGTCTGTCCGTCCTTCCGTCTTGTTTGTCCGCTAGTTCTCAGAGACTATAAGAGCTAGACTTATAAGCTAGAGTTGATGCACCATATCTATCAGATCATATATAGCCAGAATGAAGAAATTAATTTGCAGGGGCTAACCCCACCCTGTCGCGCAGCTTTTGTTGTTCTTTTCACATTTTCTCATTCACACTCTGCTTCTGCTTCACTCGGCCCCTACCTCTGCCGTCCCTCTGCCATTGCCTCTGCCGACTTTTAACCCACCCCGTCTCGCAGCTTATATTTGTTTTTTTTTTGTGTGCGGGCGCTGCCCCTGCTTCTGCCGCGAGTCAGCAGTGTGTGGGTCTAGGGAAGGGCGACGAGCTAACGGAGCGTGTTGGTGTGAGAAGTGTTGTAGATGTAGATGACAGATGAAGAAAATGTTTAAAATTTGACAAAACACCGCTAAGGTGCAGATGTAGTACTGAGTGCCGGGTATAAAAGTTGTGACGCGTAAGAAGCGTCTCACACGTCCCTTCTCGTTAGTTTTATTGTATATTCATAGTTTGTGGATACCGCAGATACCGCCCTTTGCGGAGGCGGGGCGAAATTTTGAAATACACGTGTAACAGTGTGAGCATACAGACATCTGGATGAAAAATTGTGTGGCTCGAGCTTTTATGGTCTCTGAGATCCAGACGCTCAACAAGACGGACGGACGAACGGACAGACAGACAGACACGGCTCAATCGACTCGGCTATTGATGCTGATCAAGAATATATATACTTTATGGGGTCGGAAACGTTTCCTTCTGTGCGTTACATACATTCACTTTGTGCACAAATACAATATACCCTATTTGCTCTTCGAGTACCGTGTTTAATTAGGTCCCCCCCTTTCACCACACAGACTCGGCAATTGATGCTATTGATGAACGTTTCCTTCTCTGCGTTACATACATCCAGTTTTGTTTACAAATACAATATACCCTCTAAACTCTTCCGAGTACCGGGTATAAAAATAAAGAACACAGACTTTTCGACATTTCCTGAGTTTTTAAAGTAAAAATTTCGTACATACCGCACAAAAATCATAATTTTTGTATTTCAAAGCTCAATATATTTTAGACGGCAAGCTAAAGCCTCAAAGTGTTTGGGTACACTTTATAGACCCATTTATCAGCTTTTTAAATGTTTTATTTTTATACAAAAACTGGTACAATCATCTACAATATTGTAAATATTTTCAGTGAATATGTCACTGAATGTAATTTAGGAGACTTAATTGAAATTGAGGCAAGAGCGCGAAGTTACTACTCACTTATAAGCGTACTCCAGATTGTCACCACAACCTCCCCATGTCCAATCGTCATTAAGCTGTTTAGGCCGATTCCCACGCGAGCAACCACATGACGCTAACTGGCCATCTCGACACGCTCGTGCTATAAAGCTAGTCACTGTTGCTGCTGCAAGTGCATGAATAAATGCCATTTCTGGTGCCGCTGCATCATATACAAAGATTTTAATTAGTCGCATGTATATTAGTATTAGTAATTATATTATGATGATCATCGACGTCTTTACATTTCGTTTTGCATGAATATTTTTCATCGATTAACTTATAAATCATTAAAAATAAGAATTTGGCTATAAAGAGGACTGTTTAAAATTAATTGTTTATAAAATGACAAAAAATCGTTCGAATGTGATAACACAAAATGTGTTTCAGAAATAAACTTTAAAACGAACAGGGACGTGTGAGACGCTTCTTACGCGTCACAACTTGTATACCCGGAACTCATTGCTACATCTGTACCTAGTGATTATTTGTCAAATTTTAAATTTTTTCTACATCTGTCAACTACATCTACATCTACAACACAACACGCTCCGTTAGCTCGCCCCCCTTCCTTAGACCCACACACTGCAGACTCACGGCAGAGGAAGAGGCAGCGGCCGCACGCTGCGCGAAGCACAGCGTGAATGAGAGAATGTGCAAGCTAAAAGACCGAGTTGGTTTCACATTTGATTTAATCGCAAGTTTTATGGCTTAAGCCTAGCACTCCGCACCGAAAACACTATCGCTAGCAAACTGTGCAATATATTTTGTTAGCACCAGAGTGTGACCAGAGGTGAAAACCGCATTCCCTACGGTTACACTTCTCAGGAAGCCGCTTTGATTTGTTTACTTTTTGAAAGTGTGTGAAAAGTGAATAAAACAATGAAAGCAAAATGGATCCATGCAGGAGATTACTTTTAGTGGGATTGGCGCCTCTTGCATTAGCGGACAAGGAGGACAATCAACGAAATAAGCGCCGACAGCATTCCTTAAACCCATATCTGCAGGAAATAATTCAGAAGGTTCGTTTGTCTGTACATGTAACAACTATGAATCATATAAATATTTGTATACGTACGGAAACCCATGTAACAATACCCTTTGCACATTCCGCAGTTTAAATATAAGTCTGGCCTTCTTAGATTGGTGAAGTAGCAAGGCCGCACCAAGGAATATTTGCGCCCGTTGCGAAGTTGTAAAACAGCACCCCCAAGCACTCTTCATATTTAAAATTGGATAGTTTCGAGTCCAAATCGTCGCCTTCGCCTCTCCTCGGCACGACCCTGTGGAGCAGTACTTGGCCCCAAAAGAAAAATACCTTAAAACATTTTGTTAACAGCCCAGCCGCTGGGTCGCCGCCGGGCAACATAAAGCGTTCAAATAAGCTAAACAAATTAAAAATGCAAATAAATTATGTGTGTGACACATCTTACGCGTCATAAATTTTATACCCGGTACTCAGTCAGTGTGACTGTACCATATTGTTTTTATTTCCTGTACGCGAAGAGTAAATATATATTGTATATTGTATTTGTGCGAATAACGGTTGTATGTAACCGACCCCATAAAGTATATAGCCATGTCTGTCTGTGCGTCTGTCCGTCCGTCCGTCTTGTTTGTCGGCTAGTTCTCAGAGACATAAGAGCTAGAGCCACCAAATGTGAGAGAATGTGAAAAAAAAACAAATATAAGCTGCCGGACGGGGTGGGTTTAGCCACTGGAAATTAATTTCTTCATTGTAGCTATAATAATGATCCAATCGGCTCCCAATTTGGTGATCTGGTAGATATGGTAGATATAGATCCCTAAGGAATGGCGTTTTTAATTTTCATTTATCTGTAGCTTTGGGAGGTTTTCGGCCTTTTGGGGTGGCGGAAGGGGGCGCGGCTCATTTTTTAAATATACTTGTAACACTGTGAGCAAACAGAGGTCTGGATGAAAGATTTGGTGGCTCTAGCTACCGGGTTTTAAAATTTGGTTTTGTTCGAAACGCAAAAATGGTGTCGGGTAGTGAAATCTAATAAAAAACCACAACAATTTCCAACTTTTTTTGTAAATTAGTAAATAATAAGCGCTGTTATGAAAAACAGCTTCAGGTTTTAAAAATCATGTTCAGATAGGATCACAACGTTTTGCAAATGATATTTGCTCAGAACTCGACTTATTTCAAGTTTAACATTGGCCAAAGATGGTGGCTCTAATGCCCGGCTCGGCACGGATACATCTAGCTTGGTTTTGCTTTTGTGTGCGAAGACAGCACGCAAAACGGAACATAGAAATTGGTATTGGTACGAATCACTGTAATACACTTTCATGTGAGCGGCAGAGCCTTGTTCTATGCACAATAATCAATCTAAGGCTTAAATTGGTCGAAGAAAATGTTGGCAGGTTGATGTTATTCTGAGTGGTAACGCATTGTCATCCATACCGTCGGCAGATGTTCACTATATTGTAGTTCAACTACATTTTTTTGAAATACTCACCCAAACGTGTCATAGGACCAAAAACTGTTTCGTCGTCAGTTGTACTGCAGTTCCAGCGGCGGCTTTTAAATTGAAATTGGCACTCCTGAAATATAAAACCCAAGAAACGAAGAAAGAAACGTTTTAAATGAAAGAAGTTTTCTCAAACAGAAGCGTTATTAATCTAAAATGAAAGAGGCAAAAAGAGTGAGCCAGCAGATGCATCGCTGGGAAGGACAGTTAGCGATTCTGCTGACGACAAACTATTTGTTAAGCCTAGTACTCAGATCCGAAAACACTATTGCAATCAAATTTTTCAATATATTTTGTTAGCAGCAGAGTGTGACCAGAAACGAAATCCTCATTCCGTACGTTTACCCTTCTCAGGAAGCCGCTTTGATTTGTTTACTTTTTGAAAATGTGTGAAAAGTGAATAAAACAATGAAAGCAAAATGGATCCATGTAGGAGATTACTTTTAGTGGGATTAGCGGCTCTTGCATTAGCGGAGGAGGAGGACAATCAACGAAATAAGCGCCGAAAGCATTCCTTTAACCCATATCTGCAGGAAACAAACCAGGAGGGTCGTTCGTCTGTACATGTTAGAACTATGAATCATATAAATATATAAATAACAAAATACTATCAGCTGATTTCCTAGACTTAAGGCCAGTTTTTTTCGGATCTGAGTACTTCCTGGAGTACAGCCGCCATAAAGTAGTTCGTGCGCGACAACATTTCTTATCCTTTCCATACGAATATCATCCATGATTTTTCTAGCGGCCCCTTTTTTTCGATCTGAGTAGTATGCTGAAGGAAAATACTGTGCAAAAAAACAAAGATATAGGCCGCAAATTTTTAGCGTGACATAAAATAGCTTTGTAGTTGAGTAGTAGTTGAGTCAAGTCAATTTGAATCACGAAAAAAATGTTTGATATCCGTGGTCATGAGTAATATCATCGGCAGCGTTTATTTTTGGCACATTGGCATATTTTTTTTTATTGGCACAACAATTGCCCCTCTTTACAAAATAAAGCTGATTTATAAGTGATTACGAACGTTTTAGGTGCCATGGTCACCAAATTTTAGTTACGTTCCACCACTAAGCAACCAACAAAATCAATGTATCTTGACATTGTGACGGACAGGCTCTATCGAGCCTGATCAAGAATATATATAAATTATGGGGTCGGAAAATTTTCCTTCTGTGCATACATACATCCACTTTGTGCACAAATTTAATATACATTATTTACTCTTCGAGTACCGGGTATAAAAATGCAAAACGCCTCAAGCGCTAAAAATGAAAGCGCATATAAAGTCGAGAATAGATACAGGCATTTATGTATTTACAAATTTATGTATGTGTCACCGCACACTTGAAATTACGAGTCCGACTTGAAAAGAAAAACGAAACATTTCTAAGGAATCGGCAACAAGAGCCGAACGCACTGGGGCTCATAAAGCAATTATATAAGGAGGTGCTGTCGGGTTTCGTTCGGATGTGTTAGGTCTCTAAATGTTCAGTGCGTACTCGTTTGCTCATGAGAAAGATGCGAACCCTATTAATTTTTTTTTTAGAATTAAGAGCCTAAGCTTAAGTAGTAGCTTATTGAAAAATTAAATTTAAAGAAATAACTTAAACTCGTTTTCTTGTCATGGGAAACTTTAACCCACATGCCATCATAGGGTTAATCCATCACACGATAGTTTCGGCTCACTCACACTTACAGCGCCGAACCCTTCCCGAATACGGGACAAACGGGACCGACGGCACCTCCTTATATAAATGCTTCTTGCTGGGGCCCAATCCCCTATACTCTTTATGCAGCAGGTTTCTTAGCTAAATTAGCTCTATATGAGTTGTAGACTAATTGGTTTCACACGAACGAAACAAGTAGCAAGTTCCTGACAGGAATTTTGGAGAGTGCTAGAGACAGACTTTTAAGCCGGGTTTCCAGCACCGCGAAAAATAAAAATTCGAATAAGAAAAAAAAAACAAATTCTTGGAGAAGTTTTCTAAAATAAGGTTTGACAGGAATTTGTATTTTCTACGTTGCTGGATGGCTTTAATGTGAAATTGAGACAACTCTGCTTTGATAAAATGATTACATTTTTGTTACATACTTACTTGAATAGCTGCACGAGCACCACGGCTAATCGCTGGCATAACACTAGTATGCTTCACACATTGTTTTTTTTGCCCGTAGCTTAAGCCATTGATTTTATAACAACTATTTGGATTTAGGTTTACTTTTTCAGAGTACACATTAAGTCTTGATGTTGTCTCATTGTACGGTTCATTAGGCGATACTGATCCGTTTTCGGTCATCTTAGCGATCACAAAATCGTGTCCACTTGCGACATTTGCGGACGTCATTACAACATCCCGATCGAAATAATCAGTTTCATGAGCCAGCTTATCTAAAGTCGTTTCCACAGAGCCTTCAATCAAATCTTTTAGGGGTTTATGACCACGTGGCTGCGAACGCTTCATACGCTTCAGTTGTTCCTCCTTTCTTTCGTCGGAGGGGGAATTCAAAGCGGTAAGTACTCTAAAAGAGTCCGGGATCTCAATAGAAACAGCGAAACGCCTGGTATTATTGATCGTTTGGATGATAGGTTGAAATCGAGGTTGTATGTATTCTGATTGACCTCTAAACCACTCATCCCGCTCACGCTGGCGTTGTTGCTCTTCGCGTCGCCTCTGACGAACACATTTTGGCGATTCTGGATTACGAAGACAAGCTGGTCGTTTCGTTGTGCGTGCGGGTTGTAAATTCTCTGAGCTTACTATAGTGGGCACTATCTCTTCAGTGGTCGACCAAGTCGTTGACTGAATCTCATTCAATAAATGTACTGGAGGATTGTGCATTTTTTCCAGGTTTCGGTCCCCATCGCTTTTAGCAGAAGCATTGGTATCAGAAACTGGTTTTAGAAAAGACGACAAACTGTTTATATCTTCATTGTTATGGTAGTAACCACCAAACGGCTGCTGACCTGGAGTATGTGCGCCCTGAGGAACTTGGCGTGTCGGCGGGGCTATCGGAGCAGCATATTGGAATACAGGTCTAGGCGGGCGTTTCACGTTCGTTGGTGAACCAGCGGCCTGCTTTGCTTTGTCTTTTTGCAAGCTTGGGAATTTAACAAACTTCGATTCAAAGTTTGTATTTGTTTTAGTCATATTGTGCAAGAACAATATATGCTTCTTTAAATCGTCTATATTGGACGTGGGGTCCACTTCTAGTTTCGGCGTTTTACTGCTGTGTGCTATTGGCGTGGCTCGACGTTGTGTATTAGAAGCGAATGTAGATTTTACAACTTGGGGACTGGAAGAGGCAGAATCAATCCACCCTGGATCAGGTGATGCATTCTTTAGTGCCATTGGTACTATAAACTTGCGGTCCTCATCAGTTAGGCTAGCAGGCAGACCATTTTCATCGGTATCATCGTCAAGAAGTACAATTTGTTTTTGATCCATTTCTTCCTGTATTGGATGTATGCGGCGAGATCTTTGGGGATCGTTTGTCAGTCTTTTAGTGAGATCTGTTTTTACAAATCCAGTCTGAGAGTCTCGCAAATCTACAGGTTTTATAAAAGTTCCAAGCTTACGCAGGCCCTCTTGGTGCATATATGCTTGTTCATCTTTAGTGATATTAAGAGGAATACTTGTATTAGCCAGCTGTTCGTCTTGACTTCCAAATTCAATAAAAGGCGATCTTAGCCCCAGACACCTAAAAAGAAAAATACACGTGAGTTAATGCATAGAAAAAAAAACAATATTATATAAAATTATGTTTGACTCGTCGATTATAAATATTCTAGTGAGTCATCCCACTCCGATGAGTCATCCCAATCAAGCTAATCTGGAAAAACCTTCAGACCATTGTTAAAGTAAGTTATTTAGTAAGTCGACATTTTTTAAACACCGTTTTACTTAGTTTTATTGCACAAGTTCCTACCATATCAAAGAACAAATTTGATCGTTACTTCTATTTTGAGTGTCCACTTCTAGTTTCCTCGTTGTACTGCCGTTTTACTGTCGTTGTGGCTCGACTTTGTTTATTTAAGCTGCTGCGAAAATAATTTTCAAACTGGAGGATGGGAAGAAAAATAATCAAGCCAAGCATTCTCATCCAATACAGGAACAAATTGATTAATATAATCTTGATAATGATACTGATGAAAATGATGCGTTGAATTAACTGATGATGATCGCAAGCTAATAGTATCAATGGCAGTAAGAAATGTAACAAAGCTAAAGTTGTATCATCTTAAGGTGTCAAAAGAAGATTTCACAATACATGTAATCGAAAATTAATTTTTTTCGACATAATAACAAAGGACAGTTGTTGGGATTATTTAAAGACTGCAGTATGCATTAAGTATTTTATTTGTACATATAAAGAGTGTCAATACTATCCAACAATTAAAATGGGTCTATCATTTCAGCTGGCTCTGCCATATACCAAAGCTGTGGAACTGGAAGCAATAATAAAATATTAGTCTTTCTTTACGGGATTGTGTATGCAAATGAGATATATTTAACAATTCCAATAAGACGTTTTTAAATTTTTGGGAAATTCCCTAGATATGCAAATATATGAATGAAATAACTAAATATAATAAATGACTCCATCCAAATTACAAAGGAAAAATACCTCTCAAACTTTCTCATTAATATCTAAGCTATGCGGACTCAGAGGATTCTCTTTCACTTGGAAAAGATTTATTCCAGTTTTTCTTTTTTTCACAACACTGTGAACACTGGACATAAGAACCGAGTCATATACTTATTAAGACATCTTAATCGATCCTTACAGCGGGTAATTACTGTGGACGGTGTCACAATAGCCTTAATAGCCCGGCCTTAATAGTAAATCAGTAAATCAGTAAATCACAAAAATAGTGCTCTCCATTTCTATGGTAACCCATGTTTCTTAAGACACAACACATATTCTCTTAGTATATCCTATTTATAAGCTTCCCGTAATTCTTAAGATGACTTAATAAGTTTTAAGTCTCACTACATTTCATTTCTTAGCTTCGCATAGCTTTAAGGATATCTCAATAATTTTAGCTGACACATAAGTATAAATTTGAAGTCACAACAACTTTGCCTTTGTCTCAAAACATACACAAATATTTTCTGCTATGAAATTTAGCAAGGTCTTAAGTCATTTCCGATTCATCCCCAGACTTTTAGAGTAACATTAAAATGTTGGTAATTGTTTTTCTCATTTCAACTTATTCGAATCCTGGCATATTTAAGTAAGTACAATTACTTTAACTGCCCGTTATACTTTAAGGGTATACAAACTTCTACATAGGTGTCAACCTAAACACGTACTCTTAACTTCTCTAGTGAAGCTTGCAACGTTTAGCTGTTAATTAATATTTTTGTCTTTACTTTCGATAAGATACAGTTTATTAGGTCATTTGAACCCTCAAAAATTCAATATAGTTAGAATGTACCCAAACATTTATACCCCGTAGTTCGATTTGTGATTAATGTTACATGCGTAGGTAAAGGGCAAAAGGAAGTGTAAATATTGTACATTGACTTTGAATCCAGAGCCTGAGAGCCTGTGGACTCTTTTAAACTCTTAAAAAAAGGAATTAAAAAATATGCATTATCCAAACTACCACGGATTGTTTTTGTCCGCAACAAATATTTAATTCTCATAGGTAGTTCTCTCTTTGCCCACCCAAAATTAAAAACAAATCACATTACTGGATATATTCAGGCCTGAACTTCGGCGATAGCATTTGCACGTGGAGTACATGATTGTACTATCAAACTATTTTCGAGCATATAGTATAACGCTATAAATAAAAGGTACGTGTAAGATACAATACATTGCAGTTAAGAAAGATTCAGTACAATTTAAAAATGAGGCATAATTCCGTACTTCTAGTGGTGATAGCTTTCTCCTCTTTTTTGGCTTTCCAGGAGCCGGTGGGTGCCACCAACAACTACCTCTGGGGCGAGATTGGCTCCAATGATTACAAGTTGGCAAAGGATACAATCAAAAAGGCATTTTTTGTTGGTCTTGTACAAACTAAAAAATATGTTTTTAAACAGTCGGTAGGTAAAAAAACAATTACGCTGGACTATCAATAAACGAGCAAAGTATTTTTGTTTAATTGCAGGACAACCTAGATGCTTTAACGATTACCGCTATTCAAATCACCGACCAAAAGAAAAATAATGGAGCCACTGCAGAACTAATTAGCGGTGGCCCTGGTTCAAAAGGTGCTACCATTTTATTTAAATCGGTGCGTGGCTATGGCATCAACGATGTGGTTGAAATATGGGGCCGATGAAATATAAACAATTGAAAATTTATCACTTCACTTTCTCCATAATAAATGAGATACGCAGCAATAAAATTCGTTTTTTTTTATGTTACACCGATAGCAACAAAGAGCCGTTACAAGAGTTTCCACATAGTGTGGAAAGGTAGAATGTACCAACTTTTGAGATACGTTGCAGGTGTTGAGACACAATTTTATTATCGAAGTAGGTCATCATCGAAATTTTTGAAACAAGCATCAAGCCCTATAAAAGCGAAAGGCTGTCTTGTCTTCAACATCAGTATTCATTCTGTCATCTTCAAACCACTGCGACAGCTCACTAACTTCTATTCAAATGTACTTCGGCAGTGTGTTTTGGTTGCTACTTGGCGCCTATGTCTGTTTGACCAACGGTCTCGGCGGCAGTAGTGGCGAAGGTAACGATTACACGTGGGGTAGTAAATTAACAACCGATACCTTGATTGCACGCGAGGTCATAACTAAAACAAAGATGCTGCTGCAAACTACGACTAAGACATATACGCTGACCCAGGCGGGCACTGCCAAGACTATAAGCTATATACATATAATGGATTTAAAACGCATGCGCGGTGCAACAGCGGAGATCATTTCTGGCGGTGTAGGTGACACGACAGTTACAATAAAATTTACTTCTTCAAGGGGATCCGGCATTAAGTCTCAAGTGGAAATATATGGAGCATAATCGAATGAAAATTGATAAAACTCTTCTATAAAATATTTTATATTGCACGAATCGATATGTTGTGCGACAGACATTTTAAGTTTATCGAGTAGATTAGACACGGTTAAGAATTTTGTATAATGTAACAAACAGAGACATAACTCAAAATATCCTATTATTATTATTACTCGTATACTATGTATATTTAAGAATAAGTCTTACCTATGAGCCTGTGTACATACTTATGTACATATACAATAAGTATGCAATAATGTATTATGTATATTCAATATTTTTTTACTTAGAACAACTATGTATCTAGTACATTCATATTGCACATATTCATACTTACCAATGTAAAAGAACTTTTATCAAGAATAAATCGTCTTATAGTAGATAAAATAAAGCGAAACATACCTACTACAAAAAAAAAGTAATCGAGTAAGAACGCGTGAGACGCTTCTTAAGCGTCACAACTTTTATACCCCGGTTTTCAGTAGTACATCTGTAACTCAGCGGTTTTTTTTCTTCAAATTTTACATTTTTAATTTTACACTTATTCTACATCTTTCATTTACATCATCACTTCTCTCGCCAACAAGCTCTTTTACCTCGCCCTCTCCCCTAGAGCCACACATCACACGACGCAGAGTGTGAATGTGAGAATGTGCAACAAATAAAAAAGTTGCTGGTCGGGGTGGGGGTTTACAATGCAGTTGAATTTCTTCATGCTGACTATAATAATGATCCAATCAGACCCCAATTCGGTAATCTGATAGATGGTCCTACCCTAACGAAAAGCGTTTTTAGTTTTCTTGTAACTTCAAAATTGTGAATACAGCAGATTTTCGCGATTTGCGTGGACGGAAGGGGACGGGGTGAAATTTTGAAATACACTTGTAACAGTGTGAGCATACAGCCATCTGTATGGAAACTTGGGTGACTCTAGCTTTTATAGTCTCTGAGATCCAGGCGCTCAACAATCCGGACGGACGGACGGACGGACGGACGGACGGACGGAGAGACGGACGGTCGGACGGACGGACGGAGAGACAGACATGGCTATATCGACTCGGCTATTGATCAGAATCAATAGTCGATATTATCAATATATATATATACTTTGTGGGTTCGGAAAAGTTTCCTTCTCTTCGTTACATACATCCACTTTGTGCACAAATAGAATTTACCCTATTATTGTATACCTATTATCTATACCCTATTATTTTATTTGTGCACAAAGTGGATTTATGTAACGCAGAGAAGGTACTCTTCGAGTACTTGGTATACAAATTAACGTCTGCTATGATTGTTTTCACATCAAAGTGATGAGTTTCACATCAATTACATATGTATGTATATATTAACTCGTTAAAAAAATTGACTTTAGAATTGGGAAAAAAATATGTGTTTTAATTAATGTTTAACGTACTGTCACTGTCAATGACAGTCAGAGTAGTTACTTTTGTCGTATTGTGGTTCTGGCCAAAGGGTCTTGGTAAAAGAAACAAAAGTGTATGTTTTTTTTCGAGTCCTTACTATTTTATTTTACGCATTTTGTTATTCAATTACTTATGAACTACAATCAATTTGGGAACTTGTTTTATTTTCCGTAAATTTCAACTCGAAATATTAGGCCATAGTTGTACTGAGACTGAAGCTTGATGTGTACAAAGTTGAAACCAGGACCTCCAGAGTAAATTGTAGCATGGCCACCAGTGTTATTCGTCACCTGGTCGAACGCCCGGATGCCCGTTATGATTCTCCCGTTACCAATGCCCTGTAGTGTGTGGAAACCGATATATATATATATATATATATATATATACATATACATATTTACACAAGGTATATTATAGTTTTTGTGCTTGAGTTTTCATGTTAACTTGATATCATTTATGTGTTAAAATTCTGATTATATATGTATGTATGTATGTATGTAGACAGATTTGAGAAAAATAATTCTACCTCGGAAATACTGGATGAATAAATGATTTTTTTGTCCATTGAGGCGCAGAATAAATTGTTAGATCGACACCTAAGATACTTTGATATTTGATTACTTTCTGGTACATTAAGAGACCAGCGAAAATTTAGATTAACACCTAAGACTCGAAGTCAAGAAAATGTTTGCTGCCTAATATATTATTTTAAAATCTTTGATCCCTGTTTTACAAATATGTAAGTTTGTGTTATCTGAGGTGTGATTGTGTATATGTTTTATTAGACGATTACTTGAAGTTTAAGCTCAGATAAATGTTAAGATGATATACTTTTTAAGATACTGGTATGTGTATGCTATTTAAAAGTTAATTTCACTTTTCCTAGTATATGAAATTAACAGAACACACAGTAAAACAGGAAAACGGATAGGAAATATATACATACATATGTTCATGCCTGTATACATACGTAAATATGCATGAACATTTTAAAAAGATGAGTCGCGTTAATGCTTACGTTTTTGGGATATTTAATCTCATGATTTACATATCTTCCGGGGGACGATGCGTTTGCCACATTTTCAGCATGTAAAAGTTGAGCTGAGTTTGAAATATTTCCCCATGTACTGGATACTGCATAGGCTGTTGCCACACAGCTTGTAACTACTAACAATCGCATTAGACTTTTGCAGCTCGTTGCCATTTTAGCGTCTATAATCTATCAAAAAAAAACTCCTTGATAAGTGAACAAGCACTATTTATAGAGCTGATTGAACTTAGAGTTGATTTCTAGTAAGATGCTTCTAGTTTTTAATTTTGTTTGTGTTATCGGCGCATGTGCATGTATAAACTCTTATCAGTTTTGTCTAGTGTCTGCCATATGTGCGGTTTTGACTCGCTTTCAAAGAAGAACTTGTATAGCACGAGCTCTTTCAATGTATTGCGCTACGGTGCTGCCGGTACCGCTTAAGTAAAGTTCAGAATATAAACTAAGTCGCTGTGCGGCAGCATGTTTTCAGTAATGTGATTCTCCATTTAAATTTGAGAGGCATCTTGATACTTCATCACTTTCTCTTTTTCATGTTTAAGAGCTTATCACTAAGTAAATTGACTTCAATGAACAAAAATATATTATGGCATAATGCTATTAAAATGTTATTTGCAAATAATACAAAATACATATGGTTTTAGTTTAAATTAATTGTAATTTCTGTAATATGAAATCAACTATTAATTTAATAAAGGTACAACCAAACGCACCGAAACCTAACCTATCTTATAAATACAATTAAAAAATGGTATGGTGCATGCATTTGATGTTTGATCTATGCAATGACGTTTGTGTAGCAACGACTTAACTAAGTAACTTAAAAGTAGTTAGATAAGTAATACAATTTGTATATACTGAAGTACTTACATCCATGTAGGCACACCTTGAGATCCAGCTGCAGCATAAGCCCGTGGCGCCATCAGAAAAACACAATTCGAATATGCAATCCACAATAGGCAGTGCATTTTTATGATGAATTCCATTTTTAAGGATGGTTATATTGTTTTGCGCCTAATGATAAAACTTTTAATTTATTTTTTAGAGTAAAAGTTTGAGGTGATCAATTGGTATTGCTACCGTATTTTACATCAGAATTTGGTTTGAATTCCATATTGGGTTCTTGTTAAATTTAGCAGCTTTTTAATCTTCCTTGATTTTTTTTACTTGTTATCTTTCCAAAATATACATTTCTTCTTTTGTTTGGAAGCTATGTGCATTTAATGATTGCCACTTCGAGCTGTAAAATAGGAAGATATAATAACATTAATAATAATTTGTGTTTCTATTCGTATTCCATTTCCTAAAAGCTCAGAAATACGGGTTCGAGGGCTGTCTAGAAACTATTGCTCCGCAATTTAAGACTGTAATATATGTAATATATCCTTATCTATACATATATATTTTTTTTTAGAAACCGGCAAAGCGTAAATTTCATCATCATGCAGAAGAAATCCATCAATGCCAACGCACTGCTGGACAAACTGCATCGAGGCGCCGTGTATCTGCGCCTGCATCGGCGTCACCCTCTACGACACCTATGTGCTGGGCAGCCGCTACTCCCCCTATTACACTGTTATACGCCCTGAGAAGCAGAAAAGCTCCTCGACGAGGGCTAGAAAGGCTGAAATGCTAGAAATTTAGCCCAATATTATCTTTAATGTTTGTTAAGCGTAATAAATTGTAAGAAAATGTAAGCATTTTCCCATCAAATGGAATTTTCCCAAAAAAAAAAAATATCCTTTAGTTTAGACTTGTAGTTCAACTCCTACAGCGCAGAGGCAAAAATAATTATGAAAAATAATGCTGCCGTTTGAATCATCTATGCGTTTGGGATAACCAACAAACCACCAACATGAAAATTTTGTATCAATGTGATGTTTCATACTATACTTGATTCATTTATTGTATATTTTAAAATGTTCATATCGATGGTTGAGGTATAGTTTAACTATCGATTGAACATGGCAATGGTATAAGCCGTATTATATTTATTGCTTTTGCTAAAACCTCGTACTAAGATCCAAAAACACATTTGATAGCAAGCAGTGCAATATATTTTGCTAGCGGCAGAGTGTGGGCATATTTGAAAACCGCATTCCGTACGGTTACACGTCTCAGGAAGCCGTTTGGATGTGTTGACTTTTTTTGAAAATATGTGAAAAGTAACCAAAAGGTTAATAAAACAATGACGGCAGAATGGATCCATGCAGGAGATTACTTTTAAAATGTGTGATCTGAGTACTCATATCCGAAAACAGTTTTGATAACATAATGATAATGATAACATAATGATAATGATAACATATAACATAAGAATATATGGTATTCTTCTAGCGCCCGAGAGTGACTAGATATGATCACCGAATGCCTTACGGTTACACTGTTCAAAAAACTGGTTTGTTTTGTTTTTTTACTGTGTGAGATTTGAAACTTTTTTATTTTTCAAAGTTAATACAAGTAAATAAAAAAATGAAGCTAGTGAGATTTTTTCGTCGGTAAATTCATTTCCAGTTTAAAATTTGTACGTTCTGTTTTCAAGCTGACTCGTCGGAATATAGAACAAATATATATTTTTCGAGCCGCTAGCAAACTACTATCGAATAAGATCGATGGCTTCTATAGGATCAATTGGCTTTTTTAACATAGCAACCAGTTGACGCTCGTAAAAATTACTTATGGATCTTAGTGAGCCGAGTGACTGAAGCCGGGCTGGCTTGAAATCTTCGTCACGGAACGTTTTTGAGACGCTTCGTACTCGTCAAAACTTTTATTCCCGATACGCAGTCTGATTATACATATGTACATACATACAGTGGGGAGCAATGATGAGTACACGTTCACAATAACTGACTTTCGTCGCCCATAACTTCTAAACGCATAATGCAAACTTAACCAATTTTTATTCCCGGTACTCGAAGAGTAAATAGGGTATATTGTATTTGTGGGGAATAACGGTTGTATGTAACGCACAGAAGGAAGCGTTTCCGACCCCATAAAGTATATATATTCTTGTTTAACATCAATAGCCGAGTCGATAGAGCCATGTCTGTCTGTTCGTCTGTCCGTCCTGATGAGCGCCTAGTACTCAGAGACTATAAGAGCTAGAGCCACAAAATGTTGCATCCAGACTTCTGTATGCTTACACTGTTACAAGTGTATTTAAAAAATGAGCCATGTCCTCTTCCGCCACCCCAAAAGGGAAAAAACCTCCCAAATCTACAATTTTGAAGATAAAAGAAATCTAAACGCCATCCCGTAGGGAATGACCATATCTATCAGATCACCAAATTGGGATCACCGATTGGATCATTATTATAGCCACAATGAAGAAAATAATTTCCAGTGGCTAAACCCACCCGCGTCCCGCAGCTCATATATGTTTTTTTCACATTCTCTCATTCACACTCTACTTCTGCTGTGTGCGGCCACTGCCTCTGCCGCGAGTCTGCAGTGTTTGGGTCTAGGGAAGGGGGCGAGCTAACGGAACGTGTTGGTGTGAGAAGTGTTGTAGATGTAGATGACAGAAGGAAAAAATGTACAATTTGACAAATACCCGTTAAGGTAGTACTGAGTGCCGGGTATAAAAGTTGTGACGCGTAAGAAGCGTCTTACACGTCCCATCTCGTTTTTTTATATATCAATCACTTTATCCTTCACAAACAGGCAATACCAGAAAAATATAAATGTAAAGCTTTTCAATAGCGAAAAATAAAAAACTAAACAAACTCGCATGTACTCAATTTTGCACTTTTCCTTATTTGGACTTTTTTATATTTCTGAATTTTCTAATCACACTATGCTTACGAGTCATACTAACATCAAATTAAGATATTTCTCATAATAATCGAAGCAGATTTCATGACTTTTTACCTGGGACTGAAGAAAGAATACCTAGAAATATTAAGTATTATTGAGTAGGTCACTGAAAGTGGTATACGACATCTAATACTGCTGAAAACCTTGTCATTACCCAATCGGTGGTGATCTGAGTGGAAATGATGTGAAATTTTGTCCCGAAAAATCGAAGGTCGCCCTTGCACGCAAGAGCGATCACCGGATCCGATCAATATTATAGCCATAATGAAGAAATTAATTTGCAGTGACTAAAACCACCCCGTCCTGCTTTTTTTTCTCATTCTCTTTCACTGTGCTCCGCGTAGTGTGTAGTGTTCTAGGGGAGCGGTGCGAGCTAAAAGAGCGTGTTGGCGTGAGAAGTTATGTATGTAGATGACAGATAAAGACAAAATTTAAAAAAACCGCTAAGGTACAGATGTAGTACCATTCTAAGTACCACGTATAAAAGTTGTGCTTTAGCTTTTATAGTCCCTGAGATCCAGGCGCTCATAAGGACGGACAGACAGACATGTCTCAATCGACTCGGCTATTGATGCTGATCAAGAATATATATACTTTATGGGTTCGAAAACGTTTCCTTCTCTGCGTTATATACAGTTGTGTTCAATGAAATAGTAGTGCCGCTCCTCACAATTTTCACCACCTTTTTGGGACCCTTCCAGTCTTTCGAATCAAACAAGTGATATCTTTTTGGAAAGCCTGAAACCCTGTAACCTGTAACCCAGAAAGAATCCTGGAACATTGGCATTCCAACTTCTTGTTTTACATGACCTTAGAAAAATAAACATGAAAACTGCTGTTCAATAAAATTGTATTCTTTTTTGTAGAAAATCGAAATAAACAACGAAACTGGAATTAATGTTCTATATGTCTCTTGAGGTTTAATATGTAGTTGTTAATCACATTTTTTTCACTATTACCTTACTCCCGCCTCACATGTGTAAATAAGTATCTTATTTAGCCCAAGCTTAAATAGGATCTGAGACTATCATTTTTAAACCTCTTGGCAAAACTGTGCTCTGGTTGACGGAATTATAATCGTAATAAACACATTTCACCTTCTACAATAAGATTTCGTTGATATTTTGGTTTAGAGGCTGAGCTAGACATGGAAAACCTTTTCGGCATTTTCGGATAAAGTTCCTATAATAGCGTGCTTTCTTGCGTGTATCAGATCATTATCATGTTGAAAGATCTTTTTGGGAGACAATTTTCAATAGTAATATTATTGTATTTTATTAAAAAGTATGCTGGCACACACCACTTTATGAAATACGTCAGTGCCAGGCTAGGAAGTAAAAGTTTACATGGGCTGTTGCTCATAAAGGTCAACCCAACATGCCCAATGTTGTTTTTTTCCAAGAATTTTGACAGTTATCAGATATTTGTAAACGCCAAAAGTATTATTTTGAGTGGTCCTTACCATATAAAACAACTTTACACTTATCTGTCAAAAGTATTTTTCGGACTGTGACACGACCCAGTCCAGCTGTCCAGCCTCATGTCCACATTTTTCAAAACAAGAGTCGTGCACCCATTGGCTTTTACTCTCAAACGCGTAGCTTCCGGGCACTTCTTGCAACTTAATAATTTGGAATCAGTCGTCAAAACACTTTCAGAGCGATATAAACTTGTTTTCATATCTTTTGAAAATATTGAAGACATTGGTCTGGCCTTCAACCATCTTCGACCATCTTCGAACTCATTTTGAGGGTTCTTCTTTTAGTTTAAACGGTTAAATATAACAGTAAGAGTACATTTAAATTAGTTTTGAATTCCATTATATGTACCTCCTGATTTTAGTTTTTAGTCTAATTCTTAAGTCCCCCATATTGGACCGTTCAATGATTACTGCTACTTTCCAAAAACAAAAGTACCGATATATTTAACAATTTCTTTCATCAAAATATTCAATATATAAATTAACCTTACTGATGGTAACTTTTTTAAATGCATTTGAATTGTTTTGTAATATTTTTTTTAATATCTGCACCAAGCATTACTATTTTATTAAACAGCAGTTTTCTTGGGTATTTTTCTGGGCAAGTAGCCCAGGATTCTGGGTTCTAATGTGTACATTTCAGGCTTTCCAAAGGCGCGGCACTACTATTTCATTGAACTCAACTGTACATCCGTTATTCCTCACAAATACAATATACCCTATTTACTCTTCGAGTACCGTGTAAAAAAACACCATTCCGTAGGGAAGGACCAGAAGGCCAGAATACAGCTTTTTCTTTAATTTTTTCACATTCTGCTCTGCGGGAGGGGGGAGAGCTAAAGGAGCGTGTTGCCGTGAGAAGTTTTGTAGATGTAGATGACAGATGAAGAAAATAATGTATAATTTGACAAAAGAACCTCTAAGGTACAGATGTAGTACTGAGTACCGGGTGTAAAAGTTTCGACGCGTAAGAAGCGTCTCACACGTCCCTTCTCGTTATGTTTAACTTTTCCTGATTTTTTAAAATCAAAATTTCGTAAAAATACCGCTTTACAGATTTTCAGATAAACCAAATCTATGTAAGTTGTGTGAGAAAACCAACCACTACCTCTAAAACAAAAGTTCTGCCATAGAAAAATAAGCATAATTCATTTAAACATGTTAATGCCCAATATCTATCAAAAAGAGTCGGTTTGGTTACTTGAGGAAAAAAATTGTCTCAAGAAACCAAAACCAACTTTTGCTGAAAGAAGAGTTAAAAAAATTGGTTTGTGGTTTTAGTTTACCATCTGGTAAATATTAAACTTTCAAGTGATGACTTTTGTGCGGTATTTTTAACGAAGTTTTGACTCAGAAAAAGAAAAAAAAATTATATTCTAGGTCCTTAATATTTTGTTGAATGGGTGAATTTATTCGGCGTCGTTTAGGTTATTGCTTAAATATTGCCTCAAGTTAAAGTCAACATTTCATTAAAAACACCGCACATTTTTTGTGTGTGTATGCATGTACATATGCAAAACCCATTGTATGTATGTATATGTTTTTCATGTTACTTGTGTCTATACATAAATATGTTTTTAATGTGAAGATAACATTTCATTATTTTCTTTATATTGCTGACCAAAATACCGTAAATAAACAAATTTATTAAAATCTTTTTGTCTCAAATACATTAGTTATATACATACATAAGTACAGATGCATGTTCAGATGAATTTATATGTACATAAATATGTATACATTTACAAGATACAAAATATTATTAAAATACTCGTTAAATAAAACATGTACTTTGTAAATTGCATACGTATATTTATACGTACGTATGTAGGCACAACATATACTTGCACGCTCGCTTAATCCTGCTGATTATGCGTGCATATGTACATGTGTTTGTATGTATATATTTACATGTGTATGAATGTTTAACTCCAGTGTAAAGAAGACCTTGCATTATGGTTTGCGCATTAAAATAATATAAAGACATACATATGTAGGCATATATGCATGTACATATGTATGTTAGAATATATGTGTTTGTTCATAACAACTTAAAAGTAATCTCTGTTTTTATATGTGCATACAAATGCATTCATATATTATTAATTTATGCATTAAGTGGGTTCTTTTATTTTTGATTGTTTATGAATGGTATGTCTGCATGCGTACATATGTACACTGAAATACGCTACTTATTAATCATAAACATGTAATTTTAGGTATATTCACAATTTATACATACATATATGTATGCTCACTCATACAGCCATACACAACAAAACGAGAACTGGATTTGTAAAAATGTGTGTATATATGTATATACATATGTACGTATGTAAACCAAAACCGTATCAAGCACTAAGGAATCTCGTACGAATAAGGCACTCGCGACGAGAATCGAGGAGCCCACCAACTTGCACTGAGAATTTCTTTATTATATTAACCGTATTTCAGAACTCATGGCTTTCACTATACTTCTATTTATTTTTTATATTTTATTCTTCATTTAAATTGTCCGTTTTCTGGGTAAACAACACTTTCAAGAGCAGCTTCATACAACTCCGCGAGAGCGAATTGAAATTTCAACCACCACAACCGACAACCTTTCTCTGTATGAGTGAGTGAGTGCATTTTTCATTTGAGCTAACACTCGTTTTTTCAACAACATTATTTAATAATTTATAAATACATTTTCGGCACACTTGGCGGACTTTTTTTTAGATATACTTAAGTTAATGTAATGTCATTTCTAAAATTGCTCTCAAAACTTAATTTAGGGCAGCTCAATGTTTACGTTTTTTTAATATACATACAATATGTACATATGTATGTCCATAAATCACAATATTTTTATAAATATGTAAATATGTATGTTTGTGTTCATTAGTCGGTCTCTTTATTTTTGGTATGTACAAATTCTATAGTTTTAATATTTTCGAAATCCCCTGTAAAAAAGGTTCATCAGGCTATGGTTAGGTATTACGTAAGTCTAGTTTTTATAAGAGTCGAGACAGGCTTTAAAAATTATATTTTCCATTAATCGTAGTTTTCGATTAGACCTAAGACCCTTCTCAAGAAAATCTAGTTTTTTTACTTAATTAAGAAACCAAAGCCACTTTTTCTGAGAGATATGGGTCTTTAAATATGTTTAATAAATTATGGCTGTTTTCTACAGCCTATATATTTAATTTAACTAGAAGGGACTTGTGAGGCGCTTTTTACGCGTCACAAGTTTTATACCCGGTACTCAGTACTACATATTTACCTTAGCGGTTTTTATCCAATTTTACCTTTTTTCTTCATCTGCCATCGCTACATCACTTCTCAAGCCAACACGCTCGCTAGAGCAGCACACTGCAGAGCCAGAGGCCGCACACTGCAGAAGCAGAGTGTGAATGAGAGAATGTGCCGTCCTGCGTGACAGGGTGGGTGTAGCCACTGAAAATTAATTTCTTCATGATCTGATAGATATGGTCCTTCCCTACGGAACGGCGATTTTTAGTTTTCTCGTATGTTTAAAATTGTGAATACCGCAGATTTTTCTCGATTAGCGGGGGCGGGGCTCAATTTCGAAATATACTTGTAACAGTGTGGGCATACAGAAGTCTGTATGCCAAACTTGGTAGCCTTATGGTCTCTGAGTACTAGGCGCTCATAAGGTCGTTCACTCGGACAGACGGACGGACAGACAGACATGGCTATATCGACTCGGCTATTGGTGCTGATCAGGAATATATATACTTTGTGGGGTCTTTCCGTCTGTCTGTCCGTCAGTCAGTCTGTCCGTCTTGTTTGTCGGCTAGTTCTCAGAGACTATAAGAGCTGGAGTCAACAAATTTTGTCTCCACCATGAAGAAACTATAAGGAGGTCTCGTCGGCAACACTAAGCAGAAGGGGCGAGTGAAAAGTGCGAGTGAATGGGCTCTCGCTGCAAGTGTGAGGGCAACGACAATGGAGTGTGCTGATTAACCATTTGAAAGCAATGAGGAAAAAACATAATAATTGTTACATAATTTGATTTTTAATAGTTTGCTTCATGATAGAAGTCAGTGTTTTGAAAAAATAAATATTTTGAAAACATTTGAAAACAAATTTCGTTCGCAACCAACCTTCCGCGTCGACAAGCAAACGAGCACTGACCATAGGCAGAACCAGCGAGTATCTCTGCCACCGACGAGGCCTCCTTATAGTTTCTTCATGGGCTCGACACTGCTGTATGAACGAGAAGGGACGTGTGAGACGCTTCTTACGCGTCACAAGTTTTATGCCCGGCACTCATTACTACTTCTGCACCTTAGCGGTGTTTTGTCAAATTTTCTATTTTTTCTTCATCTATCATCTACATCAACAACACTACTCACACCAACACACTCCTTTAGCTCGCCACCCTCCCCTAGACATGAACAAACTATATAAGGAGGTCTCGTCGGCAAAAATTAGGCAAACGTGCGAGTGAAAAGGCTCTCGCTGTAAGTGTGAGGGCAACGACAATGGAGTCTGCTGATTAATCATTTGAAGGCAATGTGAAAAAACATAATAATTGTTTTATAATTTAATTTTTAATAGTTTGTTTCATGATAGTAGCTGTATTTTGAAAAATAAACATTTTGAAAAAATTAAAAAAAAAAATGTGTCACTAACCAACCAACCGTCCGACAAGCAAACGAGCACTGAAAATAGGCAGAACCAGCGAGTAACTCTGCCACCGACGAGGCCTTCTTATAGTTTCTTCATGGACGTGTCACACTGCGCGAAGCAGACTGTGAATGAGAGAATGTGCAAAAAACAAATATAAGCAAATTAATTTGCAATTAATAATTTCGGAACTTGGAATATTTCCAAATATATACATTTTTTTGTTTGCCTGCCTACTTTTTGTTGCTAATAGTGAAGCCCTTTGAACTTTCCACGCCACTGTTCCGGGAGGTATTATAATAATAAATCAAAGAGGGCTTAACAAAAACCTTGCTGACAATTACTGTTTGTTGACACTCCAAAAACCTATCACTAGAACGACACGTGTGCCATTTCATCGGTCAAGATTTTGGTACATACAAAAGAGAGATAATTGTTTTGGGGGCTAGCGAATCTCTCTTTTATTTTTCAAATTATCGCTCCGTTCTCCTTTCATCCGCAGAGCTGATAGCTTATTATGTCCAATCACGCGACCACATCCTAAAACTCCATAGTCCTCCTTTAGAAAAGATCCTTCGCACCCTGGGTCAAAAACTTGCGGAGGTCAAGAGAATGGCATTCGCGGATTTTATCGCGGCATCAGGCCATCTCAGCAGTTTCGTGGCGAGGCTCGCTACTCCAGCCTCGCTTGTGGTGTCAACGTTAACCCTTAAGATCCGTCTAGACGAAGCTAGGGCCTTGGGGGAAAAGGTACGGCTAGAGTGCTAGCGCTGCACTAATGCTCTCAGTGAAACTGAACCCGATGGTGACGCGATGCAATCCATGCAAACCAAATATGAGCATTGCTACTCAGTTTATGAGAGGTGCGCTACAAGCCTTCAGGAGCAAATCGAGAGCGCTTCGGCTTCCCCCGTTATCCACCCCTAGGTCTCTGCAAGGCGGCCACAGTCATCTGCCCCCAATTGAAATCGAGGTCTTCCACGGCGATTATTTAAAGTGGCCCACTTTCAGCGATCTATTTTCCGCAATCTATGTAAGTAAACCAAGGCTGACTCAAGTGGAAATGTTATATCACCTCTGCCTCAAAACTCGCGGTGAGCCAAGGTCAATGTGGAAAAAGCTCCGCTGACGAAGGCGGGATTCAGTTCCGCCCTAAAAGAACGTTTCGAGAACAAGAGAACTCTGGTCAACAGTCAACTAAGAATGCTATTTGGTTTCTCACCTATCCAAAATGAATCTCGCAGCAAGAGCGAGATACCGTCGTGGAGCTCCATGAACAAATTCCTGAGTGAGCTATATTTATCTCTCGAAGCAATGGATAACGCGAATGCTTACATGCAAGCGCTTTCCATGCCCGAAAAAATGGAAAAGGGCTGGAAAAAAGTGAATTCTTTTGAGGCAAAGGTCAGCTGTGACATCCGCCAAACTCTGTCAAGATTCACCCCTGCAGTCTTTGCTCGAAAGAAAACCACCCGGTACGCCAAATGTTAAATAAGCCTCAAAACCTATGCATGAGACCATTTTTGGATGGATCCTTACCGGACCAGTAAACTAGTCAACTCGCACCTCAATTTCCTCATTTGCTACAAGGATTAGCGCAGAACAGCGTTTAGAAAACCTTCTAACGAAGTTTTGGGAGTTGGAGGATCTTCCAGGCAGTCGGGTTTAAGATTCTTCGGAGTCCCTCTGCGAGGACAATTTTGTTCGAACCGCCCGTACAGATGCAAGTGTCATTGTCTTTTCGGAAGCCTGAATGCGTAAACTTAGTGCATACAAGATCAATCGCGCTAGCTCAGTTCCTGAAAAGCGAAAGTCGGTTGAGACGAAACGTATTGTTGAAAGAGCAGTATGATCGTGTCCTCCAGGAGTACCTAGACTTAGGTCATATGCGCAAAGTGCCACCAAGCAACGATCCCGATAACTTCTATCTGCCCCATCACGCTGTCCAAAAGCCGGACAGCACAAAATTACGGGTAGTCTTTAACGCCTCCAGTAAGTCCTCGAAGAGTTTAAAAGATACTCTCCATCCAGGACCTGTTCTCCGATGCAATCTAACCATTCAGATACTGAAATGGCGGTTCTTACGATATGCTTTTGGTGCTGACATCACAAAAATGTATCGGCAAATTACCCCCGATCTCTCGCAAACAAGATTCCAACGAATCCTTTCCAGGAATGTAAATGGCGAGCTTTGTGATTATGAGCTTACCATTGTTACGTTTGTGGTAAACTGCGCTCTTTTCTTGGCCATTCGCGTGCTGAAGGAACTTGTGCAAGATGTCCTAAAGATATTCCCATTGGCAAGCGACATCATATCCAATTCGATGTATGTCGACGATGTACTTGCGGGTGCACACACAATAAAAGGTGCAATCGCATATATAAAGGAGCTTCGCGCTGCACTTGACAGTGCGTGTTTTCCGCTGAGGAAGTGGACTTCTAATGCAAAGCCGGTCCTCCAGGACATTCCTGCGTGCCGATATCCTTGAAATGCAGAACTATAGTTCCGCGAAGATCTTAGGTATACGGTGGCAAGCGGATAGTGATTAATTCTTTTTCGGACATCCGGGGTAGCCATAAGCTCCTTTTACACAAAAAGATAAGTTCTATCCCAAGTATCAAAATTATTCGATCCAGCAGGATGGCTGGCTCCCTTCATAGTACGAGCAAAAGTCTTTATGCAGGAAATCTGGCTTAAAGAGCTCGGGTGGGATGACTCTCTGTCAAAAGACCTAGTCACAAGAGGTTCCTTCCTCCTTAGCTATCGTGATCTTCACCAATTCGCATACGAGTGAAGACCGTGTCTTTACCACGCTTGAAATTGTCTGGGGCCGTTCTTCTCGCTGAGTTGTCGTCGTCTCTTCTTCCTTAACTGTCCCTTGATAGCTACGAATGCTTTTATTGGACAAACTCCAGAATTGTGCCAAACAAAGCTCCATGTAGATGGACAACTTTTGTGGCCAACAGAGTGACTAGAATCACACAGTCAGTCATC